TTTTTAAAAAAAAAAAAAAAAATCTTTTTGGTTTTTTGGGTACAAAACCTAAACCGTTACTAAGTAACCGAAAACTCGATTACTGACTAAACATCGGTTCGGTTTCGATTTCTATTTTATTGGTACCAAATTTATCAGTTCGATATCGGTAATGGATCACTAGTGGCAAGCATATGTTGCCATTATTACGTGTCATGTTATATAATATAATGCCATAACGTCAAAAATTGTTAAAATACTGTGATATATTTGGCCCAAAAGTCTATGCCTCCCGAGTGTAGAAGGCCAATATGGAATTTCGCTCCTCTTAAAGTCAGTTGTGGCCCAATTACATTGAATTCGTACCAAATTTATTTATTTCATACCTGAAATCTTAAGTAATTAGTTAGGTTATTTATAAACATAGGGATTCACCAGTGGACCTAATATCAAGTTTATTTGAAGCAGATCAATCAACGAGATCGAGACTACGACGATATCTCTTTCTAGCTTATAAAGTAGTGTTATGAAACAGTCTACATGTTATGATTTTTTAACAAAAATTAAATTCTATAATATGTCATATTTTTATTTTCTCTCTCATTTAAGCATGAGATTTTAGTATTAAAAAATATATTTATTTAAACAATATGATTGCATAACGGCCATAGCGGGCCTAATTTGGACTAAGCACATATGCAATGATTTTGAGTCTAGTTTTATTTATATGACATGTAGATTGACCAATGTCTGATGAAATCAGGGACAGAGCCACCTAAGGCTAGGGTGGGCTCTAGTCCCAAAAAAAAAATTGTTTTTGCTAATTTAATTTTTAAACAAATTTTGTACATAGACTCATTAGTTCAATGTAATTTTTTATGTAATCTCGTTAAATTTTGGGCTGATTGCCTCAAGATTCAGGTCGAAATTTTTTATCTGACAAGAATAGTGTAAAAGTACATGATTGTAGTCAGAGAAAAAAAGATAATCCTTTATTGTCAAATGACAGTTGTGACCTTATTAGATTTTTATTAATAATGTGGTCCAACGCACTCTTGTCTTTTAAATTTTTAATGGGTTGACTTGACAAATATCAAATGAGCTGGATAATTAAGTTTGACACATACTTCAATTGGGTTTATAATGTGGCCCAACACGCCTTGCCTTTTAAATTTTTGATAGGTTGACTTGACAAATATCAAATGAACTGGATAATTAAGCTTGACACAGACTTTTCCAACGGGCTATTTAATTGGGTTCGTCTCATTTCACAGTCTGTTATCCTTGTTCACTTTTCTTTATTTCGCCTCTAATAATTAATTCGACATCATTTCTTAGACAAAGAGAAAACTCGTATAGAGTTGATTGTAAACATGTTTGACTCTATTTGTTTGATCAACAAGTCCGATTAGCTATTTGAATTTGGCTTGTTTAAATATATAAGCGATTCTAGATTGAGTTTTTCCAATTCAACCGACATATATTAACAGATAATTTGGTTCTAATCATGACGAAAACCAGTTACAGGTCGAAACCGCCGATACTGAGCCGAGAGTTGGAGGACCTTGAACCGGCGCAAATATGTATAGATCAGTTCACTAAAATGTCGGTTATTGGTCGTCCGGTTCATTAAAAAAATAATTAACAAAAATATTTTTTTTTAAAAAAAAGGTCGAACCTTGGATTCCGGTTCCAGTTCGAAACCAAAACTGCATGTTCAAAATGTATAAACTATAAAGTATTGTGAACCGAACTGGTCAAAACCATGGGCCGGTTCAAGACTTATGGTCAACGAGTCGGTATTTGTCGGTTCGGGCCGAATCGACAGGCTGGGTCAGCCTATGAGCATGTCTACTAGGTCCAATAATAGCTACAATAATATGCAGCTCCGGGTTAAAAAAAAAATTCTAGCTACGCCCCTAGATGAAATGGATAATATTAAATAAAAGTAACACAGTTCACTCAGCTTGAGTATAAAATAGACTTTAGTGTAGACCGAGTCTTTTCTTCGTGTTGTCATATCAGCATAACCAGTCTACTTGCTCTTCCACTGGAGAACACAAACATATTCACGAATTAGGTCTCATTTAACATGTCTAGAGCACCAAAAAATTTTATGGAGCCGTCAGATGGTTTTCTTATGAAGTGATCGATCACTTGGGGCTTGGATATATTTTTTTTTTTTCGTGGATTTGTTTAGATTTTTTGGTTTAGTGTGGTTAATTTTCATAGTTATAGTTGTTAGTGGATATATTAAAATAATATTTAAAATATAAAAATTAAAGTTGATTTGATATAAAAGTATGAGAGAGATGATTTGAAGTGATGGTTAGTTAAAAATATGTGAGTGAATAGTGAATTAAGGCTGATATGATGTGTATAAATGATTGGTTGATATTATTTAATTATATTAAAAATATTAATGATAGTAAAGTTGGGTTAAAAAATATGGTTGAATTAAAGATGTTCGGATTTTTTGGATAAGTTTCGTATCCAAGCATACTCTAATGTATTGACACCTGTCCAAAGTGTATTAATTGTAGGACACGTGTCAATATATTATTTGTGAATAACTGTGGATAGTTTCATAAGCCGAGCCATCCGATTGTTTCACAAAAATACTGGTCTAGCACCTCCTTGTGATTATGGACAGCATTTACAAGCAAATTACTTGCTTATACATTAGCTAATCAATGTTCACTATATGTCCTCACAAAATGATTTTAACCAATTATTTATTACTTGTTTGGAAACACTTCTTAAATGGACTTTTAGATGTAAAAGTCCATTTGGGTTAATATTTATGTTTGGTGTTAAATAAAAAATGGACTTATGAATAAGTTGTTTCTCCAAGAAGTCCATTCTATAGAAGTAATGGATGCGGACTTTTGGAGAATTCCATTTTGTATAAGTCCATTACGAAATGGACTTTTCTAGAAGTGCTTCCAAACAAGCACTTAAGCATTGAAAATGCCCAAAAAAGCTTAATGATATGTGTTCCAAATAATTTCATTTAATTACATGCCAAACATGTGCTAACTTATTATAATGGTTAATATTTGAAGTTAGCTCAAATTCATGGTTGCCCATGTCCATGTGGGGGTTGCCTTTGTCCCAAACAAAAATACAAACTTTTTGCTCCATAACACTAAACATATCAAAATTTCAGCTAAAAGGTG